GGATTTGGTGTATCTTTCTTAATTAAAATTTTAATAACTGGGAATATAAATTTGTTATGCTCAAGCATTGCCATTATACAATTTTCTAAAATACATGTTTTGAACAAGAATAATACAAAACGAAAAAGAATCTGATATATTTTCTCTGGTACAACTACATATTGTCTGGTATATCACCTGATACCCCCGACATCTGATATCTTGAAGCCAAACCAATACAAACCTGATATACCATATTTTGAACTTTGATGTATAGTGGAACAATTTTTATATAAATGCTATTTCATATTGAGCATTTTCTTGCAAACAATCAGAACAATTTAATGACTTGCACATACATTTCTAAAAATAATTTGTATGTAATTTTTTCCTTAATAATGTTTTGAATATCTAGTAGTATTAGACACAATTAATTAAACCGATCATGATTTAAATGTTTGGTTTGAATTTTTCAAATTAGTGAAATTTATCATAATCTAGTAAAGTACTTTTTGGAGGAACTAATATAATATAGCTAGTTTCTTTTTTCCTTTTTTGTGTTTAGAAAGAGGAATATATCTAGTCGATCGGTGCTTTACAACCATTTAAGGGTTCACGAATATACAAGCCAACAGTGCACCACTGAAATTTCATGTTTGGATTTAAACTAAACTATCCTCTAAATTACGAACCATTTCTATTGTTGTAGTTCACGTTTCAGTATCTTTCAAACTAAACCACATTATAGATTTGGATAATAATTTTTTAGATTTGAGTGTATTTCATCTTCATGTTAGTGAATGCGCACTTTATGTGTTAGCATGTACTTCCCGGGTTTTGTGTGTATTTCACATGTTAGTGTGCACTTCAACATTCCAATGTGTGTACTTACGTGCTAATTCCCACCTGCAGAGCGTGTGCTAAGCCCTAAATAACAGTGGCACCGCCCATTAACCCCACACTACTGTTAATCCTCTACCTATAAGGTATTTCCTAGTTGTGGTGTGTCAGCGTGTACTCCCATAGTAGTTATGTTATTGTGTA